GGGCGGGCGCGGCGTCGGCGGAGGGGCGTGCTGCTGACCGCTGCGCCGCGCGGCCCTGAATCGGCGCAGTTTCCCGTGCCTGGGAGCGGAGCGGAAGGGAGAGGGTCCTGACCTATGCTTTTGTTCCGCGCACCTCCCCCACCGGGCATGGGGGCGAGACCCTGAGGAGGGAGGGCCCTGGCCGGCGTCGTCCCGGGGGGCAGCTGGCGCTGAGCTCCGGCCCCTCGTGAAGTTGGAGGCAGCGTCCGGAGCGAGCGGCCCCGGCGCGCAGTGTGATGGCCCGGCTTTGACGCCCTGCCGAGGCGGCCGGGCGGGAGGCGGGGGAGGCCTGCGAGCGGCAGCGTCTTGCCCGCGTCCCCCCGCCCCCGCTCCCTGCGAGCGCGCTCGGTCGCGGCAGCCGGCCGGGAGGGCCCCGAGGGACCCTGCAGGTCGCGGCCCAGTTGCCGATGCCTTTCTGTCCTACTTGCCCACCACCCTTTCTCTCACCAGGCAGCATCATGGCAGAGCAGGTGGCCCTGAGCCGGACCCAGGTGTGCGGGATCCTGCGGGAAGAGCTGTACCAGGGCGATGCCTTCCACCAGGCCGACACCCACATATTCATCATCATGGGCGCGTCGGTGAGTCCCCCCAGGCCTCCGGTCTGGAAAGTCACAGGGAAGGTGGCATCCCGCGGGGCCCGGCCCACCCCTCGCCCCAGCTCTCGTGGCCAGGCCGCGGCCCGGAGCCCTGCAACTTCCAGGTGGCGTGGCTCGGTCTGAGCGCACTACCTCCTCCTCCACCAGGACAGGTGCGAGCGGAATGCTGCTCACTGAGTGTTGTCTGTTACTTGACCAGAGGCACACAGTCGGCCCCAGCACGGGGTCTGAGGCTCCGCCTGCCCCTCTACCGAGTGACGTTCCAGGGGCTGATGGCCAGGCCTTCCTGCTACCACCACCTCTTGGCCACGGCTTCCAGAGCCTGCTGACGAGCTGGCTCTGCGTGCCCTCCTGGCACAACTGCTACTTTGCTCCAATCGAAAAGGCGAAAGGCTGCACAGCGAGACCCTGTCTCAAAAAGACAAAAAAAAAAACCAAAGAGTTGAAGCCAAGGCAGAGGAGTGGCACACTGAGGGTACATGTCAGGGCTGGCCGGGGTCCAACCATGGCCTTGAGCTACAGCATGCTCCCTCCTATGCCATGTTGTAGCAATGCCTGTGCAGAGACAGACATCAAAAGTGGTCTTGGTTGTTTCTTTCGACCTTAATGTGCTCTGGGGTCTGCTGACCACCACGCTACCGTATTTGCCATTTGTTTTGTTGTTTTGAAAGAGGTTCTTGCTATGTAGTCGAGGCTGACCTCCTCCTGCTTCAGCCTCTCTAGTATCTAGGATTACAGGTGTGGGCCACCTCACCCAGCTACCAGGTGGCTCCTGACAGGGTAGGCAGTAGCTCAGCACCTGCCTGCCGTATTGTGGGCCCAGCAGTACTGGAAGGACTCTGGGGTTCTCTGGTCATATGGAATATGCCACTTCCTTTCCAAAGCTGCTTCCTGCCACCTTGGTATTTCTGATGAGAGCTCGGGAAAGGAATGAGGAGACAGCAGGGGGAGCTTGGCCTGGGAAAGGCAAGGGGCCCACCACAGGCACTGTCCTTGGGCCCCGTGCTATTAAGACCCAGAGCAGGGGCTGGGGATTTAGCTCAGCGGCAAAGCGCCTGCCTGGCAAGCGCAAGGTCGTGAGTTCGGTTGCCAGTTAGACCACACAGTGTCAGCCACCGGCTGAACACCTAGGACTCTTGAGCATTCAGCCTTCAGTCCAAGGAGCAGGCTGGCAGAGAGCGTAACCCAAGACAAATTCTCTTCCTTTCCAGTCCCCACCCCATGCTGGCCTGAGCATTGCCAACTGTGACCCAATCATGGGCTGGATTGTGACTCTAAGCCTTGAGCCCTCACTGAGAGCACCTGAGCTTGCTGTGCGACCTCAGGGAGCAGCTCAAGGTTTGGACCCAGCAAGGAAGGCTTTTGAAAAAAGTGCCACAGGGCCAGCTATGTTCTCATGGCTGGGGTTGGGCAACTAGTTCGCTGCAATCTGCAGGGTTCCCCTTTCCTCTCCTCTCTGCAGCTGAGAAGCAGAGCCTCCAGCGCAGAAATGGGAAGTGCTGCTCCAGCCTCAGGGGGCAGGGTGAGGCCTCTGTGAAGAGCCTCATTGTTTCCCCTGGGACAGTGCCTGAGCTAGCTGAAGCTCCCACTTGCAGGCCTGTCCTTGCTGGGCGTGGGAGGTGGCAGGGCCAGCAGCTCTGGGAAGCCAGCAGGTTCTCTGATTATTCATTCACTCAGTACATAGCAATCAGATGCCCCTTCCGGACTCAACAGCTCGCACAGCCTGTGGACTGCAGGGAGCCAGGTACCGAGGTGTGAGCAGACCTCAGGGGGGCACATAGACAGAAGCCACAAGTGGGCCCCTGTGTCCCCAGCCCCTGCAACACAGGACCCATGGGCAGAGCCAGGAGAGCTGAGCCCGTGGGTGAGGGCTCAGAGGCAGTCCAGGTGAGAGGAGGAGCAAGTGTCCAAAGCCCTAAGTCAGAGACAAGCTCATTATGACCCAGAAACCAAAAGGAGGCCAGTGGCTGGCAAGCCAAAGCCCAGGCCAGCAGGACAGCCCAGAGCAAGCAGAATATCCTCTGGCCCTCCCTCCCTGGCCAGCCTCCCCAGCCCTTGCCCTATATGCCCCGCCCAGCTTCCTTCTGAGGCGAGAGGGTTCCCAAACGTGGCTTGGAGTCTTTCAGAGTCCCCAGCTGGACCAATCCCTTCTCCCCCCGACCCCGTGGCAGAGGCCTGAGCTAGAGCCCCGGGCCTTCAAGGGCATCCTGCCTACCTGACGGGCCTGGAGCCCAGGCCGCCAGGCTCTACTATGTGGTGACAGAGCCCGGCTGCAATCTGCGTGGCCCTCCATTCTCAGTTTCCTGACCTGGCCCTTGGGTGGCTCTAAGCCTGGTAGGCACCCAGGACCCACCTGGGACATATCTGGGCAATGTGGTTCCCGCTGTGTCATCATGACGTTGGCACTCCTCCAGAGGCCTGGTGACTCAGCCCCAGAGCGGAGGAGGGAGGTCCTTTTGTTAATCTTTCAGTCAAACTAGGCAGCCCCCTGGTTCCCTCACCTTGGTGGCCAGGAGCCAGCTGGGCCAAGACCCAGAGCTCCACCTGTGCGGCTCCTTGATCCCAGCAAGTCTTGGGGACAGAGTGGCCACCTGTACAGGCCCCTACTCTAAGACCCTCCAACCACCACAAAGGGCTGGGGATCTTTATCATGTCCCACCTCTGTGAAGTCCTCATATGTCCTTGGGCAGATCCCTCTTCTGCCATGGTCCTTGGGCAAAGTGAGCCAGCGGCAAAGATAAGAGGCGTCCAGCACTGCCCTAATCACCCTCACCCATGCGTGGCCCAGCATTCCTCACTCCAGAGGAGTCGGTGCCCAAGGGGAGGCCAGGGCCACCACCAGCCCTGAGGAGAGCGGCCACCCCACCTCCACTGTGCTTGAGCCTACCTCAGCTGTCCCTCGGGTGACGAGACCAGCAGGCTGCCTCTCGCATGCAGGGCCTGAGCTGAAACAAGGCGAGCAGGTTCTGTCTCTAGTTAATCCCAAAAGGAGTAGCAAGAGCAAACAGCTTGGGCTATGGGGCAACTGTGACTCAGCAGATGGTCCCCTGCCACCAATACGCAGCTTGTAGTCCATCTGACTCCTTGCAACCTGCTGGAATTTGACCGGAAGTAAACACAGCCAGTGGAGGGCTGTGAGCTCTCAGGGTCTGGCTCCCAGCCAGCCTGCCTGAGCAGGCGGCCCAAGCACTTGCAGCAAAGGGACTAGGCGGGGACCCACAAGACTGACCATGTGAAGAGAAGGTGGCAGTTTCACTCAGGACAGAAGCAGCATATGCCAGGGATATAGCTCAGTGGCATAAGTGCCTGCCTGGCAAGCGTAAGGTCCTGAGTTCAATTCCTGGTACCAAAAAAAAAAAAAAAATGACAGAAGTATCACAGAGGCTGCTGGGGTGGCCACAGTGGATGTCATGTGGAGAGTGGTAGATGTACACGTGGGTGAGGAAGCCCCACAGGCAGACAGAGTCCAGCAGATGACGTTTTCCTGAAGGTAGTCGTGATACTCTGGGGTAACAGGGAGACCGTTTAGCCCGGACTCCGTGAGGTTCTCATGGAAGGTGGCAGTTATGGTGGGACTCACGCCAGAATCCAGGGCATCATCCCATGAGCAGCTGGTGGATACAGGTGGAGGAGACGAGTTGGGCCCCCAGACCGGCAGAGGCAGGAGACCACACCTGGGAGATTGCCCACAGGCGCTCCTGGAACCCCCATGGCCTTCTCCCCATGTGGTTCTGGTTACACAGCCTCTGGGCTGAAAATGTGCCTGGAAACATGCCTCAGTGCCCGTTTTCCTGACCTTTCTCATGCTTGTGCAAAGCCAAGCCACCCGCAAGCTGCTGGCGGGACAGTGGCTCCACAGTGCATTTTCAGGCAGGGATATCTGCAGGGCTGCTTTCTGCATGGCACCTTTGTGCCTGTATTCAGCCCCCTAGCTGCTGGGGCTGACTTCTGTGTGTGTGGGGTTTCTCTCCCCGCCCCCGGCTTTTTGAGAGAAGGTCTCAGTACGTAGGCCAGGCTGGCCTTGAACTTCAACTGAGTCTAGCCTGGGCTGCTCTCAAACTCGTGGTCATCCTCCTGCCCCTACCTCCTGAGCGCTAGGATAACAGGCATGCACCACCATGCCCAGCCATGGCGCTGGGTTTTCTGGGTGAGACAGCTCATTCGGTCTCATGCCACCCATTCGGTCTCCCCACAGAGACACAGCACGCCATGCCTGGCTCAGCCCCCAGTTTCAATTACAGGGTCTGAGATAAAAGGCTGGGGCCTGTGGCCATTCCGCTGGGAGGAGGGACACTGTGATTCTTCCTGGCGCCGCCTCTGCAGAGCAGGTGTCTCCACAAGGTCACCTTTGGCAGAGTCAGACCTGGCAGCACCTCATGACACTCACCTCTCAGGGCTCTGCTTTGCCCACTGTTCGTTGCTAGCAAGTATGAAGGGGTTGGCCTGTGTCTGCTCACTCAAGGAATGGGATGGAAAAGAACACGGCTGAGGGGACAGCTTGGTGACTTCACAAGCTGGGCCTCCCTGCAGCAGCTTCCCAGAGATTAGCTGCACCCCACAGGTTGCCCCTTATGTCACTGTCTCCCCAAAGCTTTGGGGCTTGGTTTGGCTTTTATTTTGCCATCCTGGAGACTGAACACAGGGCCTCCACACTGAGCTACAACCCCAGCCCTTCTTGTTTTATTTTGTGGCAGGCAGGGTCTAAGTCACTAAATTGCCACAATTGGGCTAGAATTTGGACTCCTGCCTCAGGCTCCCAGAGTGCTGGGATTACAGCCTCGAGTTACTATACCTGGCTCCCAAGGGTAATTTCTAACCTGCTCCCCTCCCTTAACTTGACTGCTGGTTTTTTTTTAACCATCTTTTTTTTGGTACATACCAGCTGCATTGTGCACAAATAGTAACTATGCAGTTGATAACATAATATTTGCATCTCCCCAGAAAGTTCTTGGGTGTCCCTTCCCAGCCAATCCACCCCCTGCTCCAGGAAACCACTAATCAAATTTCCATCACAATATGTTGGTGTTAATAGGTTAGTGTCAGGAGGCTGAGGCAGGAGGATCATCTCATGTTCAAAGCCAGCCTGGACTACACAGTGAGACCCTGTCTCAAAAAAACACAACAACAATAATAATTGGTTAGTGTTGCCTACTCCACAACTTTAAGTGCACTCATGAATATTTTGCCTCTTGTTCTGGGTTGTTCGGTTCGGCATAGTGGTCAGATTCCCTGGCAATATGCCAATCTGTCACTGTCATTCCTCTGTCGCTGCGTTGCACCCTGTTGACTCACATAAGCATTAGAGTTGTTTCTGGTCCAGGGCTGTTTGGAGAGCAGGCCATTCTGAACACACACGTGCACATGTCCGGGTGGGTCACAGTCACAGGGTTGCCCAGGCCAGACAGTGTGGGCTCTGCACCGGGCCATCGAGGTCTGCCAACCACCAGTCCCCGCGGCCTTCCTGTATGTCAAAGCCATCACTTCTCACCCTGGGTGGTATCTGGCCACAGTTAACCAGGCCGTTTTCTCCTTGGTTGTAGGAGCTGCGTATGTGTTGTGGACACAGGTGGACATTCGGGCTGGGCTTCCCGGTTTGTGGCGCTGGGGGTCAGAGGCCTTAAGCATGCGGCGCCTGCACTCTGCCCCTCTGCTCGCCTAATAGTGCCTTGACAAGCAGCTTCCTTAATAACTTCCACTTGGTCTTTATCAGTGTCTGTGGTCCTTGCTTTCTCTGTCCAAAAAGCCTTTGCCTACTCCTATGGATTATTTAATTTAGCACCCTTATTAAAGTCATTCATTCTGATCATTTATCTGTAGAACAACCTGAGGTGTTTTGTTTAGACAAACTGTCATCTCCAAACCCTCTGCCCCAGAGCCAGCAGCAGGCGTTGCTTTACAGTTCCTGTTCTACAGGAAGTGAGTGCAACATCATCCCCACTGTGGTGTGTTACAGGCTCATTCCAGAGATCCGCTATTTCAGGTTAAGGAAATTTCTTTTTCTTCTTGCTTTGATAAGAGTTTTTATCATGAAGAGATAATCTTTTAAAATTCTTTTTTTTGTTTGTTTTGATATCGGGAATCAAACTCAGGACCTTACACTTGGCAGGCAGGCACTTGTGCCACTGAGCTATATGCCCGGCCTAAAATTCTTTTATCTACATTTGTTGAGTTCAGGAAGGTTGCTAGATTTTTTTTTTTTTTTTTTTTTTTTTTGAGACACCATCCAGGCCGGCCTTGAATTACTGTGTAACCCAGGATGGCCTCAAACTTACAGCAGTCCTCCTGCCTCAGCCTCCCAAGTGCTAGAATTATGAGTATGCACCACCATGCCAGCTCAGGCTACTAGATTCTAGAAGCTGAAAAGTAGGAGTAGGCAAAGACATTTTCCTTTGATCTGTTTTCCTTTAATCTCTTGATGTGTTGAGTAGTGATTCCCAGGACTGACACTGGTTTCTTAACAGCATAGCACCCTTCATTTCCCAGATGAGACCAATGTGCTTGTGACTCGTGCTTCCTTCAGGTTAACCACGGGCTTTGCCTCTGCATGTGTGGTTTATGCACGCGAGGGGTTGAGGGCTGTGCCCATGTGCCTTCTCGTCAGGGACAGAAAGTGGCCCCAGGAGTGCCCCTCTTCATCCTGTCTGCAGCAGGACTTTGCCCCTACCTGCAGCTCCCCCTGCATCTGGGTTAGAACCCGTGCCAGTGGCAGCCCTTTGATATCTTTCGGTAGGTTGAATTTTTCTAGAAATTTGCCTCTCTCGTTTGAGTTGTCAGCCATGGAATAGAATTGTTCAGAAAAACTCTTCTGAGCTGGGTATGGTGGAGCACCCCTGCAATCCCTGCATTCTAGGAGGCTGAGGCAGGAGGATCCCAAGTTCGAGCCCAGCCTAGACAACTTATTCCTATCTAAAAATGAAAATAGAACAGGGTTGGGGTTGTAGCTCAGTAATAGAGCACCATGGGGTTAAGCTCCGGTGTGTGAAAAAATAAAGAAGCCAGGTACGGTGCTGCACACCTGTCATCCCAGGACTCAGGAGGCTGAGGCAGGAGGAGTCCCAAGAGTTAAAGACCTGCCTGAACTGCATAGTGAGACCCTGTGTCAAAAATAATAATAATAATAATAGTAATCTGCCATCATGCAGCTCATTGTTTTCAGGTCACTCTTTCTTGCTCACCGTGAGGCACCAGCTTTGATGTGTGGCACACTCATCATCACTCAGGTCTTTTGGCTTTTTGAGACAGGGTCTTGCTATGTGCCCCAGGCTGGCCTCAATCTTACAGCAACCCCCCTGCCCTCCGCCTCCAGAGTGCTGGGATAACAGGCGTGTACCACCACGCCCAGCCTATTGGGTTTTGAAGAATTGAACTTGCAGGTTTCTCTTGGGCACACTTTCACTTTTCAGATCAAGGTACAGAGCCAAGGCAGGGCTGATCTGTGGTGATTTGTAGGGCGGAGATTGAGCTGGATCATGGCCCCTGGCCTCTTCCAACCATATCTGTCCCTTTGCCCTAGGGTGACCTGGCCAAGAAGAAGATCTACCCCACCATCTGGTAAGTGCGGCCCCGCCCCCAAAGAGGACAGGTTTGGCTGTCCCCTCTGCCTGACCCCAGCTGTGCCCCCTGCAGGTGGCTCTTCCGGGACGGCCTGCTGCCTGAGAACACCTTTGTGGTGGGCTACGCCCGCTCGCGCCTCACCGTGGCTGACATCCGAAAGCAGAGCGAGCCTTTCTTCAGAGTGAGTGGCTTCCGGTATACCTGCAGGGGGTGTCCTGCAGCGTCACAGGCGGGCAGCAGGGCTCTCGGTGGGGGTCTCCTTAAACGCTTGGGGACAGCATCTTCCTAGCAAGTTGTCACCTAGTGCAGTGGCGCTGGAGGGAGACTTCCTGCGCCACATCTCTCCCCCACTTGTGTGTCCCTGAGCTCTGCCCTCTGTCTTGAGCTGAAGGTCCCTAGAGGGCACAGGGTGACTGTCCTTCCCGTACATTGGCACAGTGTGTCTGCTGCCTGCCTCTGCCTCCCTCCCACAAGGACCCAGGTAGCTGGGACAGCTGACATCAAAAGGAGGCCACTGTGGCCACCATCACAGTGGGAGGGAGGGGCTGGTGTCACTGTCCATGTGTCCGTCCCTCTCTCCTAGGCCACCCTGGAGGAGAGGCCCAAGCTGGAAGAGTTCTTCGCTCGCAACTCCTATGTCTCCGGCCAGTACGACGACCTGGCCGCCTACAAGCGCCTCCGCAGCCACATGGACTCACTGCACCAGGGCCCACAGGCCAACCACCTCTTCTACCTGGCCTTGCCCCCAACTGTCTACGAGGCTGTCACCAAGCACATCCATGAGGCCTGCCTGAGCCCTACGTAAGGCTGTCCCTTCCCGGCCTGCCAGCCTGGCCCACCCGCAGGCCCCACGTGGCCCCGGGGAGGAGAGGCGCTCCCCCCTGCCCACAGAGCCTGGAAACATGGGTGCCCTGCTCATTCCCTGCATGAGTTCACTCCAAAGCGGAAGGACTGTAAATGCAGTCACTGTCTAACAGCCTTTCCTGAAAGTGTTACTACTGTCCATGTATTCAGGACTCACGTGCCTGCGTCCAGCCTCCAGTGCTGTGGACACTGTGTCCGGTGTCCCTGGAGGTGTGTGACCTGTGAGTTTGGGGCCAGCCTGAACTATCATAGGGAGGCCCTGTCTCCAGAAAAAAAAATACAAATAAAAATTGAAACAGCAGTTCCCCCGCCCCGCAAAAAAAAGCAGTTTCCCACCAGTACCACAAGATGGCAGTGTTGTTTCACGGAACGCTGCAGGCCGCTCAGTCTTTCTCTGGTGTTTCCTGCGTCCTCAGAGTCCCCACAGGTGGCAGTGTTGCAGCAGGAGAGACTGCTGTTGCCACCTCCACAGCCATCTCCCTGGTTTTAAAGGCAGAGCCACACTGCTGATCTGTGAGGACCGCAAAACAAAGGGCCTTTTGTCCTTCTAAGACCCGTGGGGGCCGGCTGCGGTGGCACATACCTGTGGCCCCAGCACTCATGAGGCTGCCAGGAGTTCCAGCCCAGCCTGGCCAACAGAGAGACCCCACCTGAAAATAGAAAACCTGTCGGGGAGCCATGTCCTCGGTTGGCCTCCCTCGTTCTCATGGGCCACTGGGCCCTCCCCACCCCCGGAGAGCTCACATGGGGCAGGTGGAGGACGGGCGGTGTGGCAGGCGGGGCACCAACAGTAGGTGGGAGGGCTTCAAGACACATTGGGAGCCCGGGCACAGAGCTATCCTCAAGGCAGGCACAAGGTGACGGCCGTGGCTCCCAGCAGGGGCTGGAACCGCATCATTGTGGAGAAGCCTTTTGGAAGGGACCTACAGAGCTCCGACCAGTTGTCCAACCACATCTCCTCCCTGTTCCGAGAGGACCAGATCTATCGCATTGACCACTACCTGGGCAAGGAGATGGTGCAGAACCTCATGGTGCTCCGGTGAGGGCCAGCCAGGGACACTGGGGGGCAGGGGGGCAGGGGACCAGACCCCGGGCAGGGGCCGCAGAGGCTCCACCTGGCGAACTCGGCCGTATTCCTGCAGGTTTGCCAATAGGATCTTTGGCCCCATCTGGAACCGGGACAACATTGCCTGTGTGATTCTCACCTTCAAGGAGCCCTTCGGCACTGAGGGCCGTGGGGGCTACTTTGATGAGTTTGGGATCATCCGGTGAGAGCCCATCTCCCTGCCCTGTTCGGGGACGCCTCCTGGAACCCTGCAGGCCCAGACGTGACAGCTGAGTTGGAGGGGAGTGCCAGGGCTTCGTTGGACTGTACTTGGTTGCCCTCGGGGGTCCCAAAAGACAATGGGAGTCAGCAGGCAGGCACCCCTTGTCACTAGAGAGACTGCAGGGACCCAGGGTTGTACCTGAGCAGCACCGGCCCCTCTGTCCCCAGGGACGTTATGCAGAACCACCTGCTGCAGATGCTGTGTCTGGTGGCCATGGAGAAACCCGCCTCCACAGACTCCGATGACGTCCGTGATGAGAAGGTGGGTGCAAGTGGCCGGGGGTGTAGCTCAGCAGCACAGCACCTGCCTGGCAAGCGTGAGGGTGCAGGTTCGATTCCTGGTACCAAAAAAAAAGCGGGTGCAGGCGCCACACCTGGGAGGGCTCCAGTCGGAGCCTACTTCGTTACCCATGGGCCTCTGTCCCCTCCCTCCCCTGCTGTCTCCAGGTCAAGGTGCTAAAATGCATCTCTGAGGCGCAGGCCGACAACGTGGTCCTGGGCCAGTACGTGGGCAATCCCAGTGGAGAGGGTGAGGCCACCAGAGGGTACCTGGATGACCCCACAGTGCCACATGGGTCCACCACTGCCACCTTCGCAGCTGTCGTCCTCTACGTGGAGAACGAGCGTTGGGATGGTAGGTGACTCTGCGGGAGCCTCACGGCCCAGGACTGGGCAGCCCAGTGAAGTGAGATGCATTTGGGCCAGCCCCGTCCTGAAGTCACCCTGCCCCCCAGGGGTGCCCTTCATCCTGCGCTGTGGCAAAGCCCTGAACGAGCGCAAGGCCGAGGTGCGGCTGCAGTTCCACGATGTGGCTGGTGACATCTTCCACCAGCAGTGCAAGCGCAATGAGCTGGTGATCCGCGTGCAGCCCAACGAGGCCGTGTACACCAAGATGATGACCAAGAAGCCAGGCATGTTCTTCAACCCGGAGGAGTCCGAGCTGGACCTCACCTATGGCAACAGATACAAGGTGTGCATGTGCGTGGCGGGGTGGGGCGGGGCAGGGGCAGGACCAGGGCTAGCACTGTCACTGACCCCTCGGAGGCCCCACAGGACGTGAAGCTCCCGGACGCCTACGAGCGCCTCATCCTGGATGTATTCTGTGGGAGCCAGATGCACTTCGTGCGCAGGTGAGGGGTGTGCCAGGCATGGGGTGGCATCCACCCCACGTACTCCTGTCTCCAAAGGCCACATACCTTGTCCCCTCAGTGACGAACTCCGGGAGGCCTGGCGCATTTTCACCCCGCTGCTGCACCAGATCGAGCGGGAAAAACTGCGGCCCATCCCCTATGTCTATGGCAGGTGAGGGCAGGGCAGTGGGGTTCCACGTGGGGGTTCTCTGCATCTATGACAGGTGAGGGCAGGAGGGGAGGTCTAGGACCGGTGACCCTCATGTCCCCCCAACTGTCCTGCTTCCAGCCGAGGCCCCCCTGAGGCAGACGAGCTGATGAAGCGAGTGGGTTTCCAGTACGAGGGCACCTACAAGTGGGTGAACCCCCACACGCTCTGAGGCCGGGTGCCTGCTCCCCTCCTTGGCCTACCTGTGCTGGGAGGACTTGGGACCGCAGGCTCGACCACCACCCTCGCCCCTCGCCCTCCGCTGCGCCCTTTCCAGCCACATTCCTCCAGTGCCGCCGCCCGGGGCCACTGCGGCCCATCCAGCTCCATGGGACCCAACTGCCTGCTCCTGCAGGAAGAAGGAGAAGAGGGGCGTGGCCTAGTGGGTTAGGGGCAGGGGAGGGCCTGTGGGAAGCCCCTCAGGTGGGGGTGGTGGCCATGCCGACCTCGGTGCGCCCAGCATTCCCAGTCCTCAGCTGGTGAGGAGCTCGCCCCCTCCCCTGACACACTCCAAGACGCCCACCTCCCCACCCGCCATTAAACCTCGAACAGCCCGTGTCCCTTGTCATTTCCTCCCTGCCACCTGTTGCTCTCCTGCTCCCTGTGTCACCTGCCATCTTCCCATGGCACCTGCTGGGGCCACCTCATCTCGTCTGAGCCAGGGTCACCACCTCTGTGTCTCCTGTGTCCCTGTCCATCACGGAGGTCAGCTTCAAGGGACACATCGTAGTTGCTTTAGCTGCCACCCTTCCAACTGCTTGTGCTGGCCTTTGCACGGCCACATCCCTGCCCCGCCCAGGCCCTTCAGGTGACACTGCCAGTCCACAGAGGCAGGAAATTGTGAGGAGGAAGAGGTGACAGATTCTGAGGAAGGGGAGTCAGAAGTGACATTCTGCTTCCAGGCGGAGTTCTGAGGTAGCCCTGTCTGCCTGACCCTTCCTGAGCAGCCTTGACAACGCCCCAACCTGGTGCTCAAGATAGCGGGCGTGCACGAGGGGCCCAGGGTCAGGGCAAGCAGGGCTGCCTCCCGTGTCTGTACCTCATCAGGAGCCATCCTTGACACCTGCACACACCACTTCCACCCAGTCACATTCCAAGGCTCCAGCGAGCAGGGCCCCAGAGTCGCTGCAGCTCTCCCCGCCCGCTCTGGAGCAAACAGCCCTGATGTTGTGGTCCCTGAGCTTGTGGCCTAGGCCCAGGGGACATGGTTGATGGGACGAGGGTCTGAGGGCAGGCTATGCGGGAGCATGCAAACCAAACATCCATGAGGTCAACCCACTCCTGGCATGGGGCCCAGGTGGGCCTCATCCATCAGCGGGCAGTGAGGCAAGGAAGCCAGCTCAGAGCCGGCTGGGTCATTGTGTGGGCCTTTATGCATGGTTGAAATGTCTTGCAGGCTTAATGGATGCTCCTGGCTCACCGCAGTAGCTGGGATCACAGGTGCACTTGACTGCACTCTGCTGTCCAGGGCTTCCTTTTTCTTTCTTTTTTTTTTTTTTTTTAAATTTGACACAGGGTCTCACTAAGTTTCCAAGGCTGGGCTTGAACCTGCCATCCTCCAGCCTCAGCCTTTCGAGAGCTGGAATTGCAGGCGTGCGCCACCATGCCCGGCTAGGGCTTTTTGACGCATCCAGGCCTCTCAGCCTGCCATAGAACCCGCTGCCCTTGCCCCAGGCTAGAAGGGTAACACACAGCCTGGGACACCAAGGAGTGGAGGCTCGTGCCCAGATTCCTACAAAAGAAAGCCATGGAGAATGAGTGAGCTCCCCAAAGGCTGAGGCAGGAAGGTAATTGGAGGCCATCCCGGGCAACGTAGCGAGAGCCTAAGTAAAAAGAAAGAAGCACGAGATCGTTTCAAAATAAGAGAGCACACTTTCAGGTGGGCTTGGTATTGTCACACAAGCTGGGGAAATCATGCGCTGCCCCACCCCGCAGAGAAGCTGCAAAGGACAAGGACGGCGCCCCGCAAGATGGTGGAAGGAGACTGAACTGTCCCCACAGGTGCCTTGTGCCGCCAGGGCTGCCTTGCTCAGGGAGGAGTTGGCTGTGGTGGCCTGTGCTGCGTCCTCAGAGGGAGCCCTGAACCCTCGAGGAAAGGGGAAAATGGAAGCACAAAGAACCAGGCCCAGGGGGCACCCCAACCTTACAGATGGGGCCCTAGCAGAGCAGCTGCAATAGGGGGAGTGTGGGAGGGTAGAGAACAGCTGGCACCTGGCCCTGGGTGCCACCAGTGGACAGAGGAGAGGGTCTTGGTGAGTTGATGCAGTTCTGGTAGCCTGAGACAGAAGAGCGCAAGGTCCTGAGTCAGGGCCTTTGGCTGTCACCTGACCCCAGGCTCCCCCACGTCGGCACAAGCATGAGACGCTGGGATGTCACCTTGCCTCTGGGTGAATGGCTCTGACCACCTCTCTAGGGGCTCACCCTGGGGACACGGCAGTTAGTCATGTCTGTGTCCTCCTCCTGGGTGCTGCCGTTGGACGTGAGGCAGCCGCCTTGCTTTTGCCAAGGGGATGTCCCTCAAAGCACCCACATCAGCAGCTTGCGAGGGGGATCTCCAGGGTACCACCCTCATCAGTGGATTGGCCCGTGGCTGAGTATGTAGCCCATTGGGTTCCCTGGAGGCGGAGCCTCGCACAGGGCATTGAAGGTTGTGTATAGGCCAGGCCCCAGCCTCTTCCCCTTCCCCTCTACCTCCTTCCCTCCTTGCTCTCCTCTCCCCTCCGCTTCTCTCCCCTTGTTTTCCTTTCCTCCTTTTTCCTCTCCTCCCCTTCCTGGCCGCCGTGAGGTGCACAGCTCTCCCTGGCCCTTCTTGCTGTACTATTCCCACCTTGGAGCAGCAGGGACCTAAGTGAAAGCTGTCGTCCATATGGGGGTTGGGGGTTGGGTCCCAGCCACAGGAGGGTGACTGGCACAAGGCCCAAGTCAAAGCTTTCAGCTGGCAGCACGTGTGGGGCAGAGGCGAGAGGGTGCAAGTGAGGACTGTCACCTCAGGTGTGGGTTACTGCACAGCACTCCAGAAACACCACAAGAGACTGCGACCGCACGGCCTGAGGCGCCAGTCTTGTCGGGCAGACCCTGAGATGCCCCCTCAGCTGTGTAGCAACACAAATGAGTGACACAGGCCCCGGAAAGGAGAACGAGAGGTTAGTGAGGGTCACTTGCACTCTGGGTCATTGCACTCGGGTACAGTGTGGCAACTGCCACCCAAGGGCAGCTCATCTAAAGTGAGGTGGGAGCCACGTGTCCCAGTGAGGGCACCAAGCGCAACCTCCACTCGCAGTGCCTACCTGGGTTAGGGAGAGAGGCTTGGGGCACAGCCGCTGCACTCCGGGCACGCGCTGCCAGGCGCAGCAGAAACGCGTCTCCACGTGAAACCATGTTCACACATGTTCTTCTCTGAACCAAACTTCCATCGGAAATGGGAGAACGGATACTCTAATTAGAAATAATAAACAACAAGCTGGGCATGGTGGCGCACACCTGTAATCCCAGCACTCTGGAAGGCTGAGGCAGGAGCATTGCAAGTTCAAGCCCAGCCTGGGCAACTTAGCAAATTAGCAAGACCCTGTCTCAAAATTTAAAAAAAAAAAAAAAAAAGATCCAGGTGTGGTGGTGTATATCTGTACAATCCCAGCACTCTGGCAGGCTGAAGCAGGAGGATCAGAAGTTTGAGGCCAGTTTAGCTATTATAGCTTAGATCTAGAATGTCCACCAAAAGTCTTGTGTGCAGAGGGGGGCTTTTGGAAGGTGACTGGGTCATGGGGTGCTATAGTCATCAGTGGATTCCCTCACTGAGGCATTCACAGCTGAGTGTGCTGTTGGGGGGCGTGGATGAGAAGAGGAGGGTCACTGGGCTGTGACTTGGAAGGAAGGGTGTGTTCCTGCCTCTGGCCCCTCCCTGCTCTCTGCTTCTTGGCTGCCATGGGTGAGCAGCTGTCCTCCCCCAGGCCCACCCCCTATGATGTTCCTGCCTTGGAGCCAGCCAACCATGGACTGAGTCCTCTGAAACTGTGAGCCAAATAAACCTCTCCTCCTTTATTTTGTGGAGTCTGGTGTCGGGGATTTTGTCCCAGCAATGGGAAAGCTAATGTACTTAATGAGACTCTACCTCAAAATAAGATTTGGAGGCCAGGCGTGGTGGCACACGCCTGTAATCCCAGCACTCAGAAGGCTGAGGCAGGAGAATCACTGGGAGTTCAAGGCCAGCCTGCACTGCAGAGTAAAACCCTGTCTCAAAAAAAAAAAAATTGAGATTTGAAAAGGACTGGAGATGGAGTGCAGTGGTAGATGATGGCCTAGCATGCATGAGGCCCTGAGTTCTACCCCACAACCACAAAAAAGGAAAAGGAAAGGAAAAAGCTAGATTCCTCACCCAGAAAAGATGTCCCTTTGGGCCCTCAGGGCCCATCCCCTGGGTTGGAGAGGGAGTCTGCTCCTGCATGGGCCAGTCTGCTGCAGCTCTGCGGCCCCACCACCGCTGGGTACAGATGGAGACCCTGAACAGTGGCCACCGCTTTGTCCGCTTGGCCTTGGATCATACTTCCTGTGCTGCTAGAGAAGCCCATCAGACCAGCCCCAGGGTGACACCCAGGGCCACAGCAGGGATCAGCAAGCTCCTGCTAGAGGACATCCTCAGGAAGCAGCAGGGACAAGAAGCCAACTGGCTCCAGTTTCTGTCAAGAAAGCATTCACAAGACCAAGTCTTCAGAGCAGAATGGAAGCCAGCTAGAAACCCACCCCCTTTTCGGGGTCTCTCTCCTCCTGCAGGCCTATCATTGACAGCCAGCGTCGAGGTGAAGGGAACAGAAAGCACATCCCAGGCCCTAGCCCCTAGCAGCTGCCCAACCTGGGGCAGGGAGGGATGCAGGCCTACCACGGAGGACACTGGGTCTCACTAGGTTGCCCAGGCTGGCTTTGAACTCAGGGCTCAAGCCACCCTCACCTGAGTGTCCTGTGAGGACCTTCTGCTGCCTCCTATCAAGAGCCCAGGAGCACAGCCATGGCCCAGACGATGGGGCACCAAGAAGAGAGCCTTCTGAGACTGGGATTAACGGCATGGTGAGAAACAACAAAGTCATAGCCAGGCATGATGGTGCTCACCTGTAATCCCAGCTAATCAGGAGGCTGAGGCAGGGGCATCACAAATTTGAGGCCAGCCTGGGCAATTTAACAAAACTCTCTCCAATTAATTAATTTAAAACCCAGTGCTCCCCAGATTTAATCCCTAGTACTGAAAAGAAAGGGGCAAGGGGAGGAAAGAGGGAAAAAAGTCATGTTGGGTTGTCTGCAGGGAACAGAAAGTGTAAAAAGTGACACAGGCAGCTGGACAGGGGAATGTATGCCTGTGTTCCCAGCACTCTGGGAGGCTGAAGCAGGAAGACTGGAATTTTAAATCTAGCCTGGGCAACTTGGTGACTTAGTAAGTTTTTAAAAGAGCCCAAATTTTTAAAAAGAGCTGGGGCCAGGCATGATGGAGCATACCTGTAATCCCAGCACTCAGAAGGCTGAGGCAGAAGGATCATTGTGAGTTTGAGACCAACCAGGCTACAAAGTGAGCCCCAGGCCAGCCTGAACTGCATAGCAAGACCCTGTCTCAAAAAAGACAAAAAAGCCAGGGATATAGCTCAGCGGCACAAGTGCCTGCCTGGCAAGTGCAAGGTCCTGAGTTTGATTCCTGGTACCAAAAAAATAAAAATAAAAAAAAAACTAAAACGTCAAAAAAGACAAACGAAGAAAAAATCTGGGGATGTTCAGTATGCAGGCCCTGGATTCAATCCCCAGCACACAAAAAAAGATATTTTTAGAAGACTACAACTTTCCTGAGCATGGTGGTACACACCTGTAATCCAGCACTCTGGAGGCTGAGGCAGGAGAATCAGCATTAGTTCGAGGCCAGCCCAGGCTACATAGCGAGCTCAAGACCAGCCTGAACTGCATAGTGAAACCCTGTCTCAAAAAAAAGACTACGAGTTCAAGATGCAAAGTAACTCAGGGTTACCATGTCTACACTCCATACCTTTACTCCCTAGGCTTGATTTTCTTCAGGCCCATCATACCCAAATTCCTTAAAGATACCATAAGTCCATAAATTAACCTACTTGATAAGGTAAAGTACAACCACCTGAGCTTAAGACAGAGGAAAAAGGACTCAAAGAGTTTTTAGGAAAACATCTTGGGCCACCCACTTCCTCCAAGACCAATGAGGGCTCCCCAAGCCCACACCCAGAGCATCTCTGCCTAATAAACCAACCAGTGTGCCAGGACTCAGAATCTACACCACTGACTGAGCTGAGGTCTCCAGATCCCCTTGGAGTGACAGCTGGACTGGCTTAATGGCCAGTTAGGGAATGCCTAAGAGAGCATTCATGAGCTACAAGACTGCACTCAGGGGAACTTGTGTTTCAGAAATGAAAAGTGAGCCGGGTGTGGTGGCACACTCCTGTAATCCCAGCACTTGGGAGGCTGACGCAGGAGGATTGTTATGAGTTCAACACCAGCCTGAGCTACAAAGTGAGCTCAAAGCCAGCCTGAACTGCATAGTGAGACTGTGCCTCAAAATGACAAAAAAAAAAGAGAGACAGCCCCCCACCAACAAAGAGAGGGCCCACTTGCATAGGGTTCCTGGGGTGGGAAAGTCACTAAGTTGCCAGACTGGGCTTAAATTTGAGATCCTCCTGAGTCAGCCTCCTAGAATGCTGGGACAGCAGGAATGCAGCACTACACCTGGCTAAGATTGGTTTTTCAAAGTAATTTCTTCCTCATGAAAGGTACAGATCAGTGGCCAGTTAGTCCTCGGAGACCTCATGGTACCACTCTGCTCCTTACAGTGACCCAATCCTTTGATGATAAGAGTCAAGGTTTACGGGGGGCTGGGGATTTAGCTCAGCGGCACAGTGCCTGCCCGGCAAGTGCGAGGTTGTGAGTTCAATTCCCGGTACCAGAAAAAAAAAAAGAGTCAAGGTTTACAGAGATACACATTCCACCCATTGCTGGAAGGGGAGGCCAGGGGAATCATTACACCTTCCCCAGGTCAGAGGTTATGGGTTCAAGGCCAAGAATTTTATCCATCTCTTCTCCCCATGAGGGTTCCTGTTCTATCTGAAACTAGAAAATGGTTCAGAAGAATGCATTAAATAAAAATAGCAGAAAGTGAGGCACAGCAGTGCACGCCTGTCATCCCGGAACTCAGAAGGCTGAGGCATGCGGATCGCCATGAGTTTGAGGCCAGCCTGGGCTAAATAGTGAATTCAAGGCCAGCCTGAGCTACATAGTAAGACTCTGTCTCAAATAAATAGTAAGTAAGTAAGTAAATAAATAGAGACCCTGTCTCAAAACACCAAAACAAACAAACAAATAAGAAGGCAGCTGGGCGTGGTGGTGCACACCTATAATCCTAGCACTCTGAGAAGCTGAGGCAAGAGGATCCTAAATTCGAGCCCAGCCTGAATAATTTAGTGACTTAGTGAGACCCTGTCTCAAAATTTAAAAAGAACAAAGAAAAGCTGAGGATGTAGCTCAGTGTAAAGCCCTACATTCAATCTAGAACACCAAGGAAAAAAACCGGAAAAAATCCTGGTATTTCTTTTCCTCTACCAAGATCACACAAATTCTTCTTCCCAAAGCCAACCATAACCTCTGAAGAGATTAAGCTTCTCCTACCTCTTTTGGAGCGAGCCATAAAGAAATTACCTGACCATTAGTCAGTCATGAGACCCCATCCCAGTGGGCCCCACCCTGCTTGGTATAGTTGGCCAGCCCCTCAAGTGGGGACTGAGCTACATCCCCAGCTCTCTTTACCTTGTATTTTGAGACAGGGTCTTACTAAATTGCCCAGGCTGAGATTGAAGTTGCAGTCCTCCTGCCTCAGCCTCCTAGAGTGCTGGGATTAGAGGCATGCATGCATTACAGTACCCCGCACAAATGTGTTAATTAAAAATAGCAGAAAGTGAGGCACAGCGGTGCACGCCTGTTTCTGATAAAGGATAAAGGAAGCAACTACAGCAAGCTTTTATTTATTCTAAGTAACCAGTGCTGTTGATTAAAAACAAAATGAAACATCTTCCCCAAATTCCTTTCAAGATCAACATTACCAAACTTAGGGCCAGGGATATAACTCAGCGGCACAAGCGCCTGCCTGGCAAGCGCAAGGTCCTGAGTTCAATTCCCGGTACCAGAAAAAAAAAAAAAGTTTTCCAAACTTGATTTTCTGTAGAATGCAGTTATTTTTCCCAGGCCTCTGGCCCACAGCTTGTGTGGCTTCCCTAGGGAAGGCAGGGGCTCCCTGGCACTCTCGGGACCTCGCTGAGGCAAGCTTTCACTGCCTGCTCCAAGCAAGGCATAAACAGCATCCCCCAGGAATGGCCTGTGTGGCAGATGCCAGGACCACCAGGTATGCGTGTGAGGACCCAGGGGGTTCTTGTACTGGGCCCTGTGAAGGAGGGTACAGTACCCACGGTTTGGCACCACAGATACCTAACAGGCCTCCAAATTCGGTGACCGAACCCAAGCCTGACTGCACTGTAAGAGGACTGCGTGTGAGTGCTGTGTGCACCTGCTCGAGGCGCTGTGCTGTGTCCCCAATGTTCTGGATTACCTTGGGGGACAGAAGTGGCTGTAACTGCGATCGTGAAGTCAAAGGACAGAGATGGCCCAGGCGGTCAGGGGCACAAGGGGGCGAGAACTCAGGCCAGAGGGGCAGGCGAGGGCTTTCACGTGTGCAGCTTCTGGACAGAACACACCCTGGGAAGGAAGGTGGCCCAGGTTCACCCTGCTTGACCCTAGCCCCTCGGGTTCTGCGGCCTTCCCCACCTGAACCTCCCCCGTTCCTAAGTGGCGCTTACAGCAATTCAGGATTCCTCTTTACTGCCCAGATGTCCCGCCTCCCCCGCCCACAGTACCCGACCTCAAAAACAAAGCCTGGAAATGAAGCTCTTCGACCCGAGAAGAGCCTGAGGGCTACTTCCGGGGCGGGATACGCTCCAGGTGGGGGCGGGCCCGATGAGGGCCCCGCCCACTTCACGACGCCAACTGGCTGACGCATGGTAGAGGCGGGGCCGGTTTAGGCTCCTCCCCCGGCGGGGCGGGGCGGGGCGGGGCGGGGCCGGGGAGCCGCGGACCCTCCCTGGGCCGCCATTGCTGGGCCTGCCGGGCTCTTCTGCGCGGCGCGCTCACCTCCCCTCGCTGGCCTGAGGGCGGCTGGCCTGCCAAGCATCCCCCTGCTAAGCCCTCGTCTCACGGCCAGGCAAGTCCCCGTCAGCCCAGCTGCCCTTGTCAGCCTCGGGAGTGACCCGAGCACGGGAGAACCACTCCATAGCCCAGTCCTGGAGGCTTCGTCGGCCCCATCGTGAGCCGCCTGCTTCCCGAGTGCTTGGAGAAACAAGTAGTACTGATCGTGCCCGCCCCGCGCAGGGGCCCAGCTCAAGCTGCCCCCGACCCCACCCAAACCTGTTCTTCTGCTTCGTCCCCCTCAGAGCGCACGGTCCCCAAACTGTGCACCCACCGGTGGTCCCAGCGCAGCGGGAGACGTGGACATGAGGTTGGCAGGTGGGTGGCTTCCACAGCGCACGGGAAGGAGGCCCAGGTGTCCCAGCTTTGTGTCAAGAGGGGCCCGGGCAAGCCGCTGGCTTTGCACACTCACTCACTCTGTGACCTTGAGCAAATCCTTTCACCCCTGGGCACTTCAGCTTCCCATATCGTGAGATGAGGATGAGGGTGGCCAAGCCCAACCAGCTTAGAGCCGGTGGACTGCTTCTTGGCGAATGAGGTATGACAGAGGCCCCGGGAGGCCTGGCAGCTGGGGAGGTGTGGAAAGGCAGGGGCTGGATGCTAGCTGAGGGCAGCTCGGGTGTCGCTGTTGCCTTCTGGAGGGACAGGTGGAGGGCTGAGGTGGAAAGCGGGACCCAGACTTGGAGTGCAGACCTGCTAGGGGAGCAGCTTGACCCATATCCGGGTCCGAGTGGCACTGGGACGTGAGAAACCCTGGGGGTGTAGGTGCTATAGAGGCCAGGGCTGGAGGGAGAAAACAATGAGTCATTGCTCCATGGTGTTGTATGCCAGCCTAGGTGGATGCAGTCACCAGAAAAGGGCACCATAACGAGCCTGCTTCTGTCCAGCTCTTAGGCAGGGAGTAGATCATCAAGCCATGCTCTGTCCAGAGACATCAGGTGGGGACAGCGTGCTATCCTGGAGGCCAGTAGTGAAAGACTTATTAGGAGAAGGGCGTGGGCTGCCCACTGAGAGGTCAAGCAGGATGAGAGCCCACAGGTGACCAGAATGTGACACCACGAAGATCAGAGCTGGCCTTGGCCCCAAGCTGTTTGTTCGGAGTGACGGGGGCAACACTGGGTTGGAACAGGTTGGGGCGAGGGTGGGAGGTGAGGCGGCGGCACGGGCAAGTGTAGAAGACTTCGGAAGAGCCTGAGTGCAGAAGAAGTTGAAGAGAGAGTGGGATGTGGCCTGGGAGGAGTGCTTCCCAGCTCTGCCTGCTTAAGACGGCAATTTGACAACTCAGGAGACAGAGCAGGATGGAGAGCAGGGTCTGCACTGCTGGAAACCAGGGAGGGAGGGGAGTGCAGGCCCCGGATGGTGGCAGGTGAGGGACTGGGCTCCCCATCCTCACCTGAGGGAAGGGGAGTGGGTGGTAGCTGGGACACAGATAATGCTGCCAGGCCCAGGGCCCAGGAGGTGGTGGTGCCCCGGTGGAGGATGCGGCTCCTTTCCGGGCCAGCAGTCCCGAAAGGCCCTTCCCAGCAGCCAGTGAAAAGAGAATGGACAGGCAACCCTGAGGCTTGGACTCCGCTTCTGCCTCCCACCTGCCGGGCAGGTGGGGTCTCCCTGCTGGAGCCCGGTGGATGGCACGAGGCCCCCACATGCCCATCCCCTGGCTCCTGCTTCCCAAGAGGAAGGGCAGAGCCAGTCCGAGAGGCAGGGGTCCCTTTTGGGTTCCCTGGTGGCTGAGGCCAGCCTGCCCGCGTCTGTCCCGTCCCAGGGCCCCTCCGCATCGTGGTCCTCGTCGTTGCCGTGGGTCTCACCTGGATCGTCATCAGCATCCTCCTGGGTGGGCCTGGTGGTGGCTTTCCTCGAATCCAGCATCTCTTCACCAGTGAGTGTGAGCCCTCGGGGGTCCCCGGGTGCGGGTCCCTTCCCTGGCAGGCTGTACTCCACCTATCTCCTGGCACCGAGTGCCACCTTCCCCCTGCCAAGCAGGTGGGACACCTTAACAAGCAACACCTCGAGTTCCAGTCCCATGCTGAGGGGATGTCAGTGGGGTCCTGCAAGGCACCCCACAGGCTCTCCACAGGACGTTCATGTGAGGAGGTGCCTCTTCACCCAGTGACTGGGGCCAGGTTCCCAAAGTACTCTATGGCTCTAATCTCCTCCTTTCCGGGAGAAGAAAGGGATATTCAGTTTCACTTCTGAGTCACTTAGACTTGCAGTGAGGCCTGGCCTCGAGGCCACCACGCTAACAAAAACTACTCTTGTCCCACAGGCCCAGAGAGCTCTGTGACTGCAGGTGAGGATCTGTCCCCAACCCACTCCTCCCTTGCGTGGTCCTCAGGTTGGCAGTTCTTTCCCCATCTTCCCCAGCACAGCGGCCACTCCCAGCTCTCCGCCACCACGGCTATCACAATGCAGAATACAATGCAGAATACGGGGAGGGGGTGGGGGCAGCAGGAGGCTGAAGATTGCCAGTGCAGAAGGAAGGATTGGGAGGGGAGGGCACTAACCCCTTCCCCAGCTAGTAGGAACTCACCTCTTTAACAAATCCTTGCCTGGCCACACCCTTGCTTGCCTTCCTACTAGAGGGTATTTTCTGTCTCTGTCTCTGTCTCTCTTTCTCTCTCTCTCTCATTCTGGGAGTCTGGGAATGGAATCCAGGCCTTGGCACTGAGCTACACCCACAGCCTTATTTGTTTGTTTGTTTGTTTCTATGTAGCCCAGGCTGGCTTGAAAGTCACAGCAATTCTCCTACCTCAGCCTCCCGAGTCCTGGGATTATAGGCATGTACCGCCATGCCCAGCTTTATTCTTTATTTTGAGACATGGTCTTTCTAAGCTGGACTCAAACTTTTTGTTTTGTTTGGTTTTGGTTTTGGTTTTGGTTTTTTTCCGGTACCGGGAATCGAACTCACGACCTTGCACTTGCCAGGCAGGTGCTGTGCCACTGAGCTAAATCTCCAGCCCCTGGACTCAAACTTGCAGACCTCCTACCTCAGTTTCCCAAGCCCCTGTACCCAATTGTTTTGTTTTCTTTTTTCAGACAGGGTCTTGTTCTGTCGTCCAGGCTGGCTTGGGATTCGCTGTTGTAGCCCAGGCTGCCCTTAACCTCAGGATCTTCCAGCCTCGGCCTCCTGAGTGCTGGGATTACAGGGGTGTACCACCATGCCCGGCTACTGTGCATATTTCTACCAACTCTCTCTTAAAGGCAATGCAGGCCCTTTCTGCCGTGCACCTGAAGACACTATAGCCTCTGCCCATTACCCAGCCCAAAGCCATAGCCATGGAGAAGCACCCTCCTTCCTGACACCAAAACGGATGTCAGTGTCCTGGGGCTGTTGTAACAAAGACCCAGCGTATGTGTGGCAGAACAGCATGTTCCCTTTTGCACAGTTCTGGAGGGCAGAAGTGTGAGGTGGAGGGGTCGGCAGGGGGTGCTCTGTCCGTCTAAAGCTCCAGGGGAATGGGCTTTGGTCTGATGCAGGTCCTGGAAGCCTGCCTCAGTGCGCTGAGGCTTATGACTGCATCGCACTGATCTCCACCTCCCTGTCACACGGCCACCTCCTTCTTTGTCACTTCTGCCTTTACAGGGCCTCAGCCTGCTGCAGTATGACCTCGTCTCTACTAATCCATTTGCAGAGACCCTGTTTCCAAACAAGGCCATATTCTGAGGTGCTGGGAGTTAGGGTTCCAGTGTATCTTCTTGTGTTGTTCTTGGTGTTTTGAGGCAGAGTCTCCCTATGTAACCCAGGCTGGCCTCAAACTCCCAACCATCTTCCTGCGTCGGGCTGCCGAGTGCTGGGATTAGAGGTGTGCGCACCATGCCTCACTTCCATCATACCTTTTGTGGAGATGCAGTTCAAAGCACAGCAGAGTCCATCCTCCAACTGTCACCCTCACTGCGGGGACTTGGGGACCTGGGAGCCTCTGTATCTTTGGGCTCCAAGCCTGGTTTCCTCTGCCCATTTTGTTCTTGGCTGTCCACGGGCTGTGGCCAGCCCTTGGCCCTCTGGATCGTTGTCACCTGGTTAGCAAAACAGCGTCCATTGAACTGTTCCTTGCCTTGCCCAGAGCCACACTCTCCCGCACTGGCTCCCTGCCCTGTGGGTGCCTGTCCCTGCCCTCTCCCATGGAGCTCAAGTGACTCTGGAGCCAGGTCACTGGGTCATGCCTTTGTCCTTGCTCAGAACCACGCGCCAGAAAGTACAAGTGCGGCCTGCCCCAGCCATGTCCTGAGGAGCACCTTGCCTTCCGCGTGGTCAGTGGCGCTGCCAACGTCATCGGGCCCAAGATCTGCCTGGAGGACAGGATGTGAGCTCGGGGCCCACAGGGCAAGAGGCGGGGCGGGGTTCTGAGTAGGAGAGAGCCCATGTGACTATGGTGGCCTCTGTCCTCCGCCAGGCTCATGAGTAGTGTGAAGGACAACGTGGGCCGTGGACTGAACATTGCCCTGGTGAACGGTGAGTCCCCGCACCATGCCGCCCCTCCTTCCTCATCCCCACGCAGCTGCTGCGTTTGCCAGACGCCCCTCCAGGAGCTCCCAGGGCTATTGGAAGGGCCCAGTGGAGGCAACCTGTGGACAAAGCAGGCAGCCACATGCAGGCCCCACATGAACATCGGCTCTGCGGCTTTGGGCGGGCTATGGCTGTCTGAACAAAAATGGGGAAGGGGCTGTTTGCAAATCTCTGGAAGCTGATCGCAGTGGTACACACCTGTTACCCTAGCACTCAGGAGGCTGAGGCAGGAGGATTGCCATGAGTTCGAGGTCAGCCTGGGCTACGTAGTGAGTCCAAGGCCAGTGTGGACTGCACAGTGCTACCCTGTCTCACAAAGCCAAAAATAAAACAGTAAAAGAAGCTTTTGGAAGAGTTGCAGCCAGCTGCTACCTGTGCTCCTGATTGGGTGGTGTGAATGGCACCTTGGTCACCAAAAGGTCCCCCTTCTTCCTCTTGATGCAGGGGTGAGCGGCGAGCTCATCGAGGCCCGGGCCTTTGACATGTGGGCTGGAGGTGAGTATAGCCGGCACCTTCCACCCTCTGTGGCCTGGGCTTGGGATGTGGGAGGAGTCACCAGCCAGGACACAGGCCATGCTTTTTGCCACTTTGTCCCTTGCTAGGGCTTTTCCTCGATGGGGGTGAGGGCGTGTGGGGGAGGGCCACACTGGTGGCCTAAAGCCCCATGTTCTGTGTGCCACACACATCCCCAGACGTCAACGACCTGCTGAAGTTCATCCGGCCACTGCATGAAGGTACCCTGGTGTTTGTGGCATCCTATGATGACCCAGCTACCAAGTAAGTGAGTGCCCAGGGGAGCCTAAGCCTTGCCCCTGCAGCAGCAGCAGCCCGGGCTCACCTGTCTTCTGGCTGTGTGGCAGGATGAATGAGGAGACCAGGAAGCTGTTCGGTGAACTGGGTAGCAAGAACGCCAAGGAGCTGGCCTTCCGTGACAGCTGGGTGTTCGTGGGGGCCAAGGGTGTGCAGAACAAGAGTCCCTTCGAGCAGGTACAGCAGCACCCCTGCCCATGCCTCCCAGCTGCCCCTTTTGTCCACAGTAGCGTTTAGCTTCTCTAATGTGTTTGACCCTAGAGGGTCTTTCGTTTTCTTTGTTTGTTTGTTTTGTTGGGGTTTTTTTTGTTTGTTTTTTTGAGTCAGGGTCTCACTGTGCAGTCGAGGCTGGCCTTGAACTCACGTGGTTCTCCTGTCTCAGCCTCCCAAAGGCTGGGATGACAGGCCTTTGCCACCAGACTCAGCTTCTAAAGGGTCTTGAAGTGGCAAAGTTTGCGCACTGGTAAAGTCACAACCAAGAAACTGTCCTCCCCAGTGTCTCCAAGACGCTCAAGCCCACCTGAGTCCTCTGAAGCCCTGGGGTCCTTGTTCTCACTGTGCTGTGCCCTCTGCCCTCCGGGGTCGTGCATGTCAGGCCCTGTGCTTGGGCTAAGGAGCAGGGGAGCCCCAGGGACCAGCCTCATTTTGGGGGGGCTCTTGACCCAGGCCAAGCCACAGTGCTCCCAAATCCTGCTGCCCACTCTGCATGAACACATTTCTAGAAGACTGTGGCTGATAGAAAAAGCAGCTTGAAGAGCTGGGCAAGGTGGTGCGTGCCTGTCATCCCAGCACTCGAGAGGCTGAGGCAGAAGGATTGCCATGAGTCAGAGGCCAGCCTGGGCTATGAGACCCTGTCTCAAAAAGCCAAAAAAAAAGGCAGGCAGGCAGGCGTGAGCTGCGCTGCCTCAGGCCTTATTCTGCAGGCGCCTGTTCCCCCAGTAGCGGGAACCATCCTCCCTCCCCCTGCACTGTTCCCTCCCTGGTGGTGCCAGCCCAGGAGCCTGCACACAGGCTGTCCCTGTCCCTGTCCCATCCCCACAGCACATGAAGAACAGCAAGCACACCAACAAGTACGAGGGCTGGCCTGAGGCCCTGGAGATGGAGGGCTGCATCCCGCGGCGCAGTGCGGCCAGCTAGCGCGGGAGCCTGGCCCAGCCGGGGCTCTGGCGCAACCACACGCCTTCCAGGTGCACTTGGCATGGGAGCCCAGGTACCTCTGTCCTCCCGAAGCTGTCCTCGAGGCCTGTCCCTCCCAACCTTCCCCCTCCACGTGAGGGCCCAGCTGCAAGGGCCCTGGGTGCCTGCCCCTGTCACTAGGGCAGCCGCCTGGTAGGTGGTGGCCTCTCACAGGACAGTGCCATCCAGGGCAGCATCCCCGCCCCACCTGCAGCAGAAGGGGCCCTGGAGCAGTCTCTGGCATAGTAGATGGCAACGGCGTACAGCATAGGGGGTTGCCCACCAGGTGGCCTCTTAAAGAACCTGTGGTCCACAGCAAAGTCAGGAAGCTGAGCAGACAGCCTGTGTCCCCAAGCCTTGTACCCATACCCCACAGTAATGGGGACCAGTGCTGACCAAAACTGGCCCCAGATGGCACCACTCAAAGCCGGGACTGGGACGTGTGTGACCTGCAAAGACTGGGACAGGAAGTAAAACTGTGGGTACAGCCGGGTGTGATGGCGCTGGTCTGTCAGCCCAGCACTGGGGAGGCTGAGGCAGGAGGATTCCCTCAAGTTCAAGGCCAGCCTGGACTACATAGTGAGACCCTGTCTCAAAAGACCATAAATAAATAAATAAACAAAACAGAGGGTGCAGAAATATCTGGGTGTAGATGGAGGAGAGAAGGTGGTTTCCCAAATGGGAGCAATCAGGGCACTGCGGGCATCCCAGAGGTGACAGTGGCAGTGCTGATGGCCTTAGGAGTCCTGCTGTGGAACAGCAGAAGTGTTCCCAGCCCTGGAAAAGTAAACCTCAAGAAACAAAAGTAAAGCCGGGCGTTGTGGCACACACCTGTCATCCCAGCACTCGGGAGGCTGGGGCAGGAGGATCACCATGAGTTCCAAGGGCAGCCTGGACTACATAGCAAGACTTTGTCTCAAAAAACAAAGATGAATGTATTCTGGGGGCAAGCACGTGTCAAGGTAGACGCCCACTAGGGAGTGAGTGGCTCAGATGCCAGGACTGCCAAGATCAGGCCGGAGGGGCTGGGGGGCAGCTCAGTGGGACGTGCTTGCCTGGCATGTGTGAGGCTGTAGCTTACCCAGTACCGCCCCCACAAAAGAGGAAAAGAAAATGAAGCCCAGGAAGTGAGGAGGGCTCAGCCCTGAGCTGGTGCCTTCCAGAGACTTGCTCTTTTCCAAGCCAGTTTATGGTCATAGCAAAACTGAGCAAGAACAAAGCTCCTAGTTTCGGGTTGTAGGCTCTGAGTTCTGACTAAATGGTGTAGTGACGTCCATCCACTATTGAAGTATCCAGTGCATCCACATTCATAAATCTCCCTATTTAGAATCCCTCATCTCTGGACTGGAGAGAACAACATAATCAACTCCCTCGCACCCTTTACCTGGCTTGCTGGCTGATGTGCGGCCAGTGTCCTCTGAGCTGCACACACCACTCCCCCACCCGTGTTGAAGTGAATTGGCTTTGTTCTCCATCAGTACCAGTTACACACAAGTTGCCTCCACAGCTCACACAACCCCAGCTGTCAGGCCATTGTCCCTGTTGCACAGAAGTTGACCCTGGGGAGCTTCAGAGTTGCCACGGAGCTGGGGTGTGAGAAGCTGGGTGAGGAGGGTTCCACCTTGTTCAGCGCAGGACTGCCAGGAAGCAGAGGTGCCCTGCAGGCAACCACTCTTCCAACTAGGCCCGCCCTTCCTAACAGCGTAGGAGCCAGGTGACCCAGTCTTTACCTTTGGAAGGCTCCCTGTGAGTGCACAGGCTTGGGACACCTAGGTAGAAACCGGAGCACACAGGTTGGCAGCTTGGTGCCAGGTGAACTGGACCTCACCAGGCTGCAGTACAAGGCCCCGCTGGACAGCCCAAACAATTGCTGTGAGTGTCCAGCCTTCCTCCACTGGCACATGTGGCCAGCGAACGTCCCCGGGTGCCTGCGTTGGGCTAGCCATTGTGCTGTACACTAGGGAGGTATGAGAGAGCGATGGTGCTAGCCCTGCCCTACTGGGGGTCGCCAGTGTCGTACAAAACAGGCAGGCAGCTTCATCCCCCGCTTGTCCCAGCCTGTCTTGGGTCACTGAGCACTTAGCACGCCTTGAGGTACAAGTGCCAGAACCCAAAGGGAAATGGGCATAAGAAAAGGAGGCCATGGCCGGGCGTTTTGCTGCACGTCTGTTGTCCCAGCACTCTGAAGGCTGAGGCAGGAGGATCACTGATGGTTTGGGCCACATGGCTTATGTGGAGTTCAAGGCCAGCCTGGACTACATAGCAAGACCCTGTCTCAAAATCCAACAACTACCAAAAAAAGGGAGTGGGCTTTACTGTTCCTGTAACAGACCCCAAGGCCAAGGGTGGTTCTAGCTCCATAATGTTGTAGGACATGGGTTCTCACCATTCTGTGGCTCTGCTTTCCTGCTCTTGCTGTGGTTTCCCAGTATGCTGTCTGCCCCTAGGAGTGGGGGGTCCATGGTGGAAGTCCCACTGTAGCGGCTCCCGCAGAAACGTGCTCCTGCCTCCCCAGAGTTCAGTACAGTCCCAGGGGACCAACTTGCCTTCGGGGCCATATGGCTCTGTCCATCCCTTTCTCAATGCCAGAGGTCACCTAGCTGCTGCTGCCCCTTGCTCCACCTGTTTTCACAGACCACGTGACTTCTTGGGAGTGAGATATCCTTGCCTGATCTGTAGATCTGTTCCTTGTTCTCCAGAGGGTACATTACTAATCCCCTAAGTCGACTACAAACACTCCCTTGCCTTTTCCTGCTGACAAAGCCACCAGAATTACCAGGTGTGGTGGTGCACGCCTGTCAGGACCATCATGAAGTTCGAGGCCAGCCTGGGCTACATATATAGTGAGTTCAAGGTCAGCTTGAACTACATAGTGAGACCCTATCTCAAAAAGCTTTTAAAAGATTTCTGGGAAGATGGCAGTGTGGTGAACAGCAGAGAAACAGCCTCTCTGACATGTGGTGTCCAGACACTGGAATATAGCAATGTGAAGGAGAGAAGGATCTGAAGTAAGAAATGAAACCCACAGGGAGAGCAGAGAGAGAGATGACAAGCAGTGCTTTCGCCCTGAGCCCTGACTCGCTGCGTGGGAGGGGCAGCTAGACCCTGCAGATGCATGGTGACTGGTGGCGACCTCAGAGGCCTCCACAGAGGAATGCACCAGTGGAATGGAGTGGTGGACACTGAGGACTGCAGTGGCTGCTGAGTTATTCAGGTTCAGACAGCACCTAGGAGGGGGTGATTGGCCGGTGGCCATCTTGGAAAGCTCAGCAGCTGTGGGCTGGCTCCATCTAGTGGCTCCCAGTGTCAAGGGAAGGCAGAACCCAGTTCAAATCAGCGGAGGTAAGGAGCCCAGTTCAAGCCCGCAGGGAGCAGAGTTCAAGCTGATAGGAGGCACATGGAGGGTTGCAGGCTGAATAGATCGGGTTCCAGCCTCACAACCAGAAACCAACCCGAACTTTAGTGGAACTAAAGGAGCAGGATTGCTGGGATTGTACACTCCCCTGTCATAAATCTACAGCTGGCTTGCTGGAATTAATCAACATGGGTCTGGGCTCTGTCTGCCACTCTCTATCATTGATGGCAGAGACACACACTAAAGTGGACCTTTTTCTTTTCTTGTTTTTCTCCTTTTCTCCCCACCTTTTCTTTTTTTTTTTTTTTTTGTCTTTGTTTTTGTCTTCTTTTTTCTTTATTGTTCTTGTTTTTATATGAATGTGAATATTGTTTCTAGTTTTCTTGTTGTTGCTGCTGCTATTCTCTTCTGTTCTTCTTATTTCTTCCTTCTCTTTCCCTCCTGTTTTCGTCACCACTTTGCCAAAGTTTGCATGATCTTCTTTTGTCCTTCAGCCTTGCTTCTAAATTCTTCCTCTTCTATTTCTCTATTTTCCCCCAATCCCTTTTGAATTTTTCCTCTTGGCAGTGACAGAAACACTGAAATGACACTTAGGATTTGGAGGCAGATGTATTTTACATTGATGGGTACTGATCAGGATCATTCCTAAAATAACAGGCCCTGATCTCTAGTGGTCTAGGGCTTATATGGGATAAGCAAGCAGGAAGTACAGAGGCAGAACGGCTTGTCAATTGGGGATTGGTTTATACAATGTGCATCATAGTGACCAGCTGTTTCTAAAGAGACAGGAGCAACCAGAACTGTAACCCGAACTATTACCTGGGCAACTGACCAACTGAAGTATACTGGCTGGGCGGGGAGGGGGGGGCGGGACGGGGCATCTTCCACTATATTTTCCCTTTCTTCTAGTTTTCCAGGAAGATCTTTGCTGGGTATGTTACATGTGATCTTCTGAGACAAGGCCCAACTAGAAGCAATAACATTGGGGCTATAAGCAGCCTGAAAAGCACAAAAATCAAGAGGAGTAATGTATTGAGGTATGGAGCAATCCTATGAACAGTGTACTCAGGCTTCAGCTGTGTGTGATCTGGTCAGCATCCAGAGTGACCAGAGCAGGGCTTTGAGTGCCTTGTCTCTTCAGAGTGAGCTCTGGAGGAGCTATCCATGTAAACTCTCCAGCAGATGTAAGGCTGGATGTCTGAAACTTACAGAGATAGTTAATATGCATCTGGGTTATATGTGTGTGGAGTGTCTACAGGTATAGCTGGTCTTTTAATTAAACTTTATGGAGCTGGTTACAAGCTGTTCCTATAGGGTTATGTTTTATTTTTTAACTTTTTAGAGGTTTGTGGCCTATAGACTGCATGTAATTTTTATTTAGTTATCTCTGCTATAAATGCAGGCCTGTTGTCACTGCCAGTGATCAAGGGTTAGCCACATCTAGGGATGATTTTTTAAGAGAAGGACTCTGCAAACTTTTATTGCCCTTTTCAGTGTGGATAGGCATGTTTTGGGCCAGCCTGAGTAGGTGTATTTAAGCACCAATAGATATCTGTTAATTCTTATAAGGCTTTACTTTAGTGAAATCTATCTGTATGTTGGGTGGAGGTTGGGTTGGTGATACAGATGCTGAAGCCTGAACTGGCTACAGGGACATGGGTGCCAGCACTGTGGCTTGAGCTTGCAGACATACAGTGGGGGTAGGTCTGGGTCTGACTAAGATGGATCTTCCGGGAGTACCAGGTAAAGTTTTTCTGGCTGGGGTTAATGTTTTAGTCAAATGGATTCCCAGAGGGGGCTTAGGAGCCCAGGTGTGGCATCACTGGTCCCAGGTTTCCAAATAGCAGCAGGAAGCAGTAGCAGGAGAGCTTTGGCCAAAATGACTTTGTCCCAGGTGACCACAGCATATCTAGCCTGTCAGACTCCATTCCTAACAGAGCTACTTCCATCCATAAATTGCATACTCAGCATCTGTCAGGGGGTTTAGTTTTCAGTGATGTTCTAGTGGGCCCAGCTTGGTGGGCAGATCCGTGGCAGGACTGAGTGGTCCACAGCTATTCAGGAGGTCCAGTGCAGCATGTGGCGCCCGGAAACTAGGTCTTGGCCTAAGGTGAGCTTGTCAGCTTTCTGATCAGAAGGACAGTGGCTATTAGAGTGCAAAGGTAAGGGGAGGATGCAGCCCTTAGGAACTAAATCCAACTTTTCCTACAGGTAGGCCACTGGGCGCTC